TGACCTCTCCAATAATATTGTCTCCGTTACCTATTTTAAGTCAAATATTAATACGGATTACTGTTACATCCATTTAAAACCTTTCAAAAATAAAGAGGATATTTCAGCTTTCGTTTACTCTATAAATACAATATTAATATTCATCTAATAGTACGAAAATAAATATATGATGAGTGGCGGAAGCCACAAATGAAATATGATAATTTGCATGCCACAAGGTTAAAATAAAGCCTGTGTTTATAAGAATGTGCTTTGTGACTGAATTTAGATAGTAAGTGGTAAGACATCAGTGAAAATACAGAACATAGTTTCACTGCAGTTAAACAAAACAAATTTACAAAGAAAATACGGAAAATAAGAATATGCTTTTTATACAAAAGGAACGTACTAGTAAGAGTATAATTATGTCATTATTTAAAGATCCTGTAACACATTTTTCAATGGTTTTATTTCATATATATGATGCTCAAATTAAGATTTGTCAATATTGAAAGTTCCAATAAGCATTATTTATAAAGATATTACCGATTTTAATATTTCATGCATGTAAATAAAGGGAGATAATTAGAAATTTATTTTCTATAAATTCTAAGTCAGATTTTCCAATAAGAAATGAATGCATATAATTTTATTGATTAAATATAATGTGCTTAAATATTTGCAGTACACATTTTACATATTCTTCGATTTTGAAATTGTTTTTACTTGCATAATTAACATACATATATATTTTTTTTTTTTTTTTTTTTTTTTTTTTTTTGGCAAGTGTGGTATACAGACTGGGGGCCTCCGTGGCCGAAGTGGTTAAGGGGTCGCTGACTTGAGATCACAGGTCCCTCACCCGCTGTAGGTTCGACCCTCACTTAGGTTGAAATCTTTCATGTGAGGAAGCCATCCAGCTGGCTTACGGGAAGGTCGGTGGTTTACCCCAGGTGCCCGCTCGTGCCTGAAATAATGCCCGGAGGGGCACCTGGGGTCTTCCTCCACCAATAAAGCTGGAAAAAAATCGGCGAAAAAAAATCTCGGCGGGACGCTCTAGGATGGCCGACTTTGAGTGTACGGTCGCCATATGGGCTTTCCGTGCGGCGACCTTAAATAAACGCATAAAAAAAAAAAAAAGTATACAGACAGTAACAATATCAATCACAAAACATACAGGCTCTTTAAAATGTTAAACTACACCAGTATTCAAGTGATCTTCAAAATTCAAAACAGCTACGGAAGTCGGGTTAATTGCTCACATATCAGGCATTATGGTTCAACAAATAGACCTAATAACATTGTATTTATTCAGTTTATTTTTACGATATAGACATATAAAGTGCGGGTGAATTTAAACGAGACATATTAAATATTGTTATACTTGCAGAAATAAAATAATAATAATAATAATAATAATAATAATAATAATGATAATAATAATAATTATAGTAACAATATATAATGTTTATTTATTAATTTATTTCTTTAAATAATCTGTATTATATCTATTTATTTTATACTTTATTATTATTTAGCAGGAAAATTGCCCCGATATTATTGTTTTGGAAATGAAATTTTGAAACTTGTACAAAAACAGGACTAAGTGAGCAACTCTCTTATACCCTTAAACACGCACATACATACGAACATATATCATACATACCTACATGCCCACCTACGAACCCACTCTCCCACATACCTACCTATCTACATACCTACCTACCTACAGATAAACGGATTTTAAGTATCGAAATTTGACCAGCTATTTGTCCAGTATGGACTCTTTTGACGACTCATTATGCCTTAGAAATGAAATATTGTTTTCTCTTTTAAAAGTGCAAAAGTGACTGTAAAAAAGTGGTTGTAATTGATTTACAGAACATATGATATGCTTAGCACATGCTGAAAAATCCGCTCTATGTAAAATTATTTGTATTTACCTGTAACTGAACTAGTTACCACGGCGCAAAAAGCAGGTAAATGCCCAGGAAAATGACCAGCAGTATATTTTGTTTCAAACAATAAAAGTACAACAAAGAAAGAACAATTTTTGAAAACAAAGTCATAGCATTTGAAGGCGTAATGTTCATTTAAAGAATACATATAGCTTGTTTGAGAATTATGAATTTTGAAAAACCGATGTCCAAATGCACGCATTCTTCGACACAAGCTTGCTCGAAATTAACACGTTAAATGGAGTTATACAACTATTCAATTGAATTTATTTAAATATAATAAAATCAAATGTAAAAATAGTCATTCATACCTACAAGTAATGAATCATATTGTATTGTATAGAAAGCTATGGCTGCCTTATATTGTTCTTTTTCAATAAATTTAAGCATATATAAGGATAAATATATATTTAAGTATAAATGCACTATTAAAATATACGAAACCATGCCGTCAGTGTATGAAACATCCGCTGAAGCATCCAAAACAATAATGTTCTATACGACTGATTTCCATTGGTCGCAATGTTACGGTGGAAATATCTTCCAGAAGCATAAATATATTGATATATCAGTTTTAAAGCAGCATGTGTAAGTTGCTTTATTTTTGTTATTATACAATATAATACATTTAAGTTAAATATCAGAATTGTCATGCAACTAAGCATAAATCTGAAGGCGTGCTGCTTTAAGAAAGCACGGTTAATCAATTTTCACTTGTATTTTTCATAGTTATATATTACATCAACTGGATTTGTTTGAAATTGAACACCTTCCCTAATTGAGCGCATTGAAAATATAAAGTAAACCTCGGTGCAACGATACTTCGGATATCATTAAATACATCGGAATTGCAATCGCGTTTTGCATTTCATATCTTGTTTATGATTATGTTTTATAAGACATAACGTATGTACAACAGTTGTAATATCGATTTCTTTAGGTACAAGTGCCACTGTGACCTTGATATATGGTAATTTTTTTTGCAGGGAATTCATGTTTCCCGATTGCTAATGTCAATATCAACCAGATATAGTTGTTTATGTAAATACAACATGTTTTATAAATGCAAGCCACCCTATGAGTCATTATCATTCATGCTCTATTTCAATTTATAAATATATTGGAGAATAATATTACATATTCCTAACAGCCTTAGATTTAACCACGGTGTAAACGTGCCTTGGTGTACTGTTCGTCGGGTAAACAACTTCGTTAAAACTCTTACTTAATGCCCCGGTCACATATTTACGGATAATGCCACGGAAGAGCTACGGTCTAATTGTTCACGGATTACTACGGAAATGTGGAATTCCGTGGTCCGCTACGGTTCCAGTACGGACACACAATGGTATGATCACGGAGTCCGACGGATTTTCCACCAAAAGCTCCCGGAGAGACACGGACTGTTACGGACCGACACGATTTGATACGGAGCGACACGAATCAGGACGGACGCACTACGGATACACTACGGTCTGCTACGGTATAAGCACGGGTTAGTACGAATAAGTACGGTCTGATACGGATAAGGATGAATTGATACGGAGAAGAACGAATTGCCACGGATCTATACGGACCTAATACATCCGTCCAGAACCTCTTGTATGCTCATTTTCAAAATGCCTTACAAGAAAAGAACACTTGGAAAACGAATTGCAGAGTTCAAGGATTTTGGCGGAGAGGATTCGGCCTAACCGCCTCCGACCTCCGAGACACATCAGGTCCGATTAAAGGACGTTGGATCCTCAACAAGTTCGGCCATGTGAGCCTCATACTAAACATGAAGTCTTTGTAAAAGCCAATCTCTAGTCCACCATCTCGTCTGTCTTCTTTTACCTGATTAGATATGGACTAGTAAGCATTGATGAAAAATGTTGATCAATACTGCTTCTCTATCAATTTTAAAATTTGTTGTTCATTTTACAATTACATTAATTATCGTGAATGTTTATGTTTTAAAAATATGTGAAAAGCTTGTTAATTAATCTTATAATCACTCATGGGCCAGTGTCCGAGGCTTCTTAAACACTCCGTTTTATGTACAAATTTACTCCAAATTCACGATCCAATGTTTGTAAAATATGTAACATTAAATGTTATTCTATTCCTTATGAAGTGTAGTACGATATTATTATATTTTACCTACATGCATGTCATCAAGCAGCTCGACCAAATGGCAATTATCATTTATTGAATGTTCCTGCAAATATGTCTTTTTTTAACAAGAAGGTAGTATTTATACCCTGGAAAAAGTACATGCTGATACTTAATCCATCCGTACTAAACAGTGGTGGACCGTACAATTCCGTACCGTTTCGTGATGCAACGCAATAAACCGTATAATACCGTGCTAATCCCTGCTTCTCCGTAGTTCAACGTATTACGATCGTGGCTTTCCGTGACAATGTCGTATTAATCCGTATCAAAACCGTAGCTTATACGTAGGGTAACCGTACAAATACGTAGTTCTCCGTACTAAACCGTGGAAATCCTTGACAAGTTGGTGGACTACGAATCAGTACGGACTAGTACGGTTTTCATACGGACCAGTACGTATCAGTACGGTTTAATACGGACTAGCAGGGACACGCTACGGTTGATTTTTCCGTAGCGAATTTTTGTGCATGTTCAAAAATTGTCAAGGATTGCTACGGATATACAAGGACTACTACGATTGATTACGGTTACAATACGGAGAGCTACTGACCAGTACGGGTAGCTACGGACGATGCCGGAATTAATCCGTGGCTCTTCCGTGAGCGTATTCCGTGAATATGTGACCGGGGTATAACATTTAAGAAGTATTGTAGCTGTAAAGAGGATAATTCATTTTTGTCAAGGCTTTAAACGATGTCAATATTCAGTATTTACTTAAGCTATAAACGGATATGTGTTTGAGCGAATACAATTATATATATTAATGACGTTTTTAACTATAACATCATAACGTATTGCTTTCTTTAAACGTTTAATAAATTATTGTAAAAACAAATTAAAAACTCAACTGAAAAATGGAACAATACAAAAGTATAGATGGTGGGTTGGACTTTAACAAAGACGTATAATGTACTTCAAAACAATTAATGTATGTTTTACTTTGTAATTCTTTATTTCTGTTTTCTTGATTAAAATGTGGACAACAGATATACATTCTAATCATAATACCTCATTATGCATGTGAAACGCACAATATTTTATTACACAATATTCATACACAGACTTAAAAGAAGTTATTTTAAACTATAATTTGTGGCATTTCTTTACTAGATGGTTTCACAAAAAAAAATAAGATAATGTAAAAAATGACGTTGAGCAATAAAAAAGTCATTTTACATTGTTGAACATGATACAGATTCTATTGAACTCGTACACAGCTGCAAACCAAATTTTGACTGGTTAAGGCCCTACAATATAAGTTTAGTGGCTGTATATGTGTCTATAATTTTACCAAACAGATTCGATATTTGACATTTTCAGTAAGCAATGTGTCGGAGATTTTATATGATTCCCTCTTTTGCCTTTTTATTAATTTTATTATATAGAGGATATTTGTTTAGTTCAGTGTAAGATCGGAATATATTTCACCGAGTGAGCACCAAAAGGTATATTTCACGAGTGGCGCAGCCACGAGTGAAATAAGAACTTTTGGTGTTCACGAGGTGAAATATATTTCGATCTTACATTAAACTAAACAAATTTTCTTTTATTATATGCAAAGAAACGTTTAAAAAGACATTTTAACTTAGTACTAAATGAAAAGGGCGCCAAATATAATATAACGTGACGTCATTTACGACGTCACGTCATTAAGTTGGTTTCCAGTACTGTGAACGCTTGTATTTCACTGAAACAACATACTGGGCTTAAATATTCAAAACAGTGAAATTATCAAATCGATAATTTCACTGTTTCAAACAGTGAAATTACCAGTTTTTAACTCACTGATATATTTCTATAAACCACCGAAAAGCATGTAATAAAATTATTTCTTTGTTTAAACTAATGTGTATGAAAACACTAATTTGATCAGACTTGATGATGGACAAATGTCTCTCATTTGAAATTTTAACAATTCATTTTGCAAGAGATTTTTGTTTGGATAGAAACAACAAACTATTCAATAATAACCATCGTTCTTTCATAAATATTTGATTCTTTATTTTCAGTGTGGTATTGCTTTACCTTCTATTTTTCCTTGTCTGTAATAATTGTAGTTATGTATACGTATGCAAAAAACAAAAAAACAAAAATACCAAAAAAAAAAAGAATAGTTACATAAATACCCTTAATTGTATCTATATTATGCGCATAAATTTAAGGATATTTTTAAGTATATACGCTGAATGTATAAAACCTTACCCCAGAACCTAAATCAATGTTAGTAGTCTTCCAAACATTCTAAAACATCGTAAATGTATTCAATACGAAAGAGATATATCCAATGTCCAATCATTTCTTATTAATATTACCAATATGCACAATACCTTAATGCTACCTTTCAGCCACAAGGGGGCTTACCGAAGTATGCTATAAAGGTCCATACGATATTTACGCTACGAAATATCTTTTGATATTTTCTAGCCGTATTGTTAAAACAAGAGTTCTTTGGAAAAAAAATTAATCGAAAAATCATCAGGTTTAATGTATTCATTCCTGTTTAATTTTCTTTTTATAAAAATTGCCTGCTTCCAAGTATCATTATTATAAAAATCAAAATTTATATTTAAAAAAAAAAACCTTTTTCTAATAAATCCAAGAAAAAGATAAATAAAAAATTTAAAAATAGAATGAAATATATTTTAAAAAATAACTTGGCGTGGAATTTAAAAAGTACAACACCAAATAAAACTAGCAAGTACAAGCGATCTTATTTTGTAAAGGGTACTATTTCTTGAATTTGTAAAGTGACAGGCTATGACATGTACTATTTGTTACTTCTTGTTGTACAGACCAACAATATCAGGTGAAAATGAATTAATAATTCCTTGACAATGTATTTAATGAATTAAATCATAGAACAATAGTAGTGAGACTGAGAGAAGAGGATGTTGAAAAAACACTTAAGAATCCACAAAGTGATGGAATATTCGAATCTCAAAATACTCAGATAATTATTAAAGTCTATTAAGTGTTATTTTTCTGTTTTACTACCCCTTGCATATAGCTATAGAACCGTCCGTCCTTCTGTCCGTTTGTCAATACGAGGTTTACCTAAACGGCAAATTGATTTTTTCTCAAGTTGAAATCATAGAATAATAGTAGTGAGACGTGAGACTGAGAATAGAGGAAGTTGGAAATACAAGTGAGAACCACAAAATGATGGAACATTAGAATCTCAAAATACTCAGATAATTTTTAAAGACTAAAGGGATATTTTTATGTTCTTTTATGCCCCTTGCATATAGCTATTGAACCGTCCGTCCGTCTGTTCGTTTGTCAATACGAGGTTTACCTAAAACGACAAGTTGATTTTTTCTCAAGTTTAACCTATATCAATGGCTTGATACTTTACACACTTACTAATCAACACAAAATACGTGATCTGGGGAAGTTACATAACTATGGCTTTCATTTTTACCTCGTTATTGCCCTTTTCAGCACTTAGAAAATGAATAATTGGTTAACCAGAAACGGCAAGTTGGATACATCTTAAATTCTATGTAATAGAAAGAGCATCGAAACACTATCTGATTTGTACGAGGGGGCGTAGTGCCAAGTGTTTTGATGTTCTTTTTCTTTTGGATCATAGTCAAACATGAAAACACGTTTCCTGTTGTCACAATATGAAACCCCGGAGAAAAGTAACCAATGAACGAGCATCTTAATATCATATTTATGCCGCTTTCACTTTCTCAGCCGTCACAATAAGTAAACCCCAGCAAAAATAAGCCAATCAATGGGCGTTCTCTGGAGTGCGGGTAACTTATACCTGCACTCCAGTTTACGCACGGTGCATGTATATTTATACGATTCAACTCGGACACAATTTAAACAGATTCTGAATGGTCCCCAAACTATGATACAATTATACTTATAACTTCATAATTACCACACTTACAGGTACTTATCAATACAATGTACATGATATTGCCAAGTTGTATAACTATGCCGTCCATATTTCCCAGTTATTTCCTTTTTATAGGTCTTCTAATTTGTTTGGAGTGAGAGGTCTATACTGTCAAGGTCAAGGTCACGGATGTTAAAAAACAAAACAAATTAAAGCATTTTTGCTCATACAGCCTTTATTTTTATTTGATGTTATTAATGTTTAATACAAACTACTCTTCCATTGGGTTTAGTTAGGGCTCATTTGGTCAAAAGTCAATGTCCCCAATGTCTAAAAAAAATATTTTTACTATTTTACAGATGTGTTAACTTTATTTTTTTCACAGATATCTCTTATATTTGGTAGAAACATAAAATTAGTATAGTTCTCTTCCGATGGCGCACGTGATCAGTCGGATCAAGGTCATCAGTGCTAGAATAATAGATGTTTACACTTTTTCTCATACAACCTTTATTTATGGACTAAAGTCTCATATTTGGTAGGAAAATTACTTGCATAGTTTTCTTCCTTCTGATTGAGATAATGGTCAGTGGGTCAAGGTAACCAGTGTAAAAAAGATATGTTTTCCACTTTCTCCCATATAATCTTTTTTATTGACAAATGTATTTCATATCTGGTAGGAAGATAACTTGTATGGCATTCTTCCTTTGGATGGAGTTAGGAGTCAGTTTGGTCAAGGTCACCATTACTAAACGTAGATGTTTACACTTTTGCCCATATAGCCTTTATCTTTTGACATATATAGTTCATATTAGATAGGAAAAAATGTGTATGGTATTCTCACTTTGGATTGAGTAATGGGTTAGTTGGGTCAAGGTCACCAGTGCTAAATATAGCTTTCTATATTGTTGCCCATACAACCTTTATTTATTGACAGATGTATTTTATATTTGGTAAGAATATAACTTACATGATACCCTTCCTTTTGATTGAGGTAGGGGTCAGTGTGTCAAGGTCAAGGATGCCAAAATAAGATTTTACATGTTTGCTTATACAGCCTTTAATGTTTGACTGATGTTTTTTTTATATTTGATAGGATAATAACAAAAGTATTTGCATAGTATTCTTCCTTTGGATTGAGTTAGGAGTTAGCACAGTCAAGGACATCAGTGCTAAATATATTTTTTTCACTTTTGCCAATATAGCCTTTAAAAATGGACAGATGTCTTTATCCGGTTGAAAGATAATTTGCATGCTATTCTTTCGATTGAAGTAGGGGTCAGACGGTCAATGTCAAGAACACCAATAAAAGATTTCTACACATTTGCTGAACCGCCTTTATTTTAGACTGACATTTTTCATACATGAAAGGATGTTGACTTGCATCCGTGGATTGAGTTAGGGGTCAGTTGGGTCCATGTCACTAGTGCCAAAAATAGACATTTACATTTTCCCTATAAAGTCTTTATTTATCGACTGATGATTTTTTAATTTGGTAAGAAGATATCTTGCATAGTTTTTGGATTGAGTAAGGGGTCATGGGTCAAACTCAAGGGTGCCAAAACAAACAAAAACAAAAACAAAATCAAAAAAGATTTCTATACATTGGCTTGTATAGCCTTTCTTTATAGCCTGAAGATTTTCATATTTCAAAGGAACGTACCTTTGATAATCCAGTGATTGGAGTCACAAAGTCAATATCAGTTGTAATGACAATAGATTCTTTTACACTTTTTATATAATTTGTATTTTATTAACAAAGAACATACCTTAGATGGTTCTGATGGAGGTTGGGGTTGCTGGATTCAAGGTAAAGTCTTGCATTTACATGTAAGATGCTAGTATTTGATAAAGTTGAATATTTTTCAACTTCCTAGAAAGTCATAACAATGATTTTCCAACTTATATTTTTCACAATTACAAAACGCCATGACTCCTTCAAGTTATATAACTGTGTTTACAGTCATTAAAGATCAATAAGTTCACTATGTATGTTACATGATTTATATGAATTATTACAAAACACTTTGGTGAATTAATGCACATGAAGCACTGGATGTTCTTAATAAAAATTAAACGAAGTAATTAACAAGCGTAGCCACTTCAACATAAGTGCCTCTTATAAGGAGACTTACTGAAATATTTACCATTTCTCTCGGTTCGAATTTAGACGTATTTATTCACCAAAACATTTAGTAGATAATGCATATAAATCGTATGCAACATCAAAGTGAACATATCTAACTGGTATTGCATTTTCGTTACGTTACATGCAACTATTCTCCTTTTAACAATATAACGCATTTTTCTACATCAATTGATTATATGAAATGGCACGTACCGCCATGTTGTTTATTGTTCCTCCATCTATGATGGAAGCACTGTAAAACGGAAATTCTACACTATAAAACACATCAGACAGGGACAAATTAATTATTAGTCTTTTTATATGCACTTTGTTTTCTACAGTAAAAACGTTAAGAAGAGTTTGTCGCTGATAACAATTGGGATACTAGTTGTTATACTGATAAACACTTGGTCCAGCAACGAAGTTGGGACAAAACCTACCAGCGATATAATTGTGCAACAACTGATTATAGCTGCATACTTTTGGACGGAATGTTTTCTATTGCTAATTACAGGTATTATTATCTAAGGTTAAGTTATAATCTAGTTTCTTTGTAGTTGTTATTTTGTAATCGAATAAGTTTTTAATTACATGCAAAACGTATTTTTTTAGATTTACCCCTATATGATCGAATGTTATATAACACTATGGAAACGTTAATTGGGCACCTGAAAGTTGATGTTATTGTATGTATTTTGTCCACTTTATCTCGGTATCTCGTGAAAATATAAGACTACTTGATGCATTGATGTTTCAGTTTTATACCAGAAGTTTTTTCTCTTCAATACTATTCTTTAAGACATGTCGATATATAGGGACTGGTTTTAACGAGAAAACGTTAATTGGGTACCTGAGAGTTGACACATACCTGTGTTATTGTATGTAGTTATGTCCACTTTATCACGGTATCTCGTGAAGGAGGCGATTCTTTTTTCTACTCTTGACCAGTTGCGTTATATCGACAAGCCATAAAGAATAGTATTGTGGTGAAAAAACTTCTGGTATAAAACTGAAACACTAATGCATCAAGAAGTCATAAACTATTACGAGATACCGGGATAAAATGGATAATACTACATACAATAACACAGGTAGGTATCAACTTTCAGGTGCCCATTTAACGTTTCCATATAAAACATTACTTTCTCTACTTTGTTATTCTTATCTTTACAGGATTTTTGTTATTCTGGTGTTGTCCTACACCGTGGTTTGCGGCCATGATTTTTCCTTATTATGGCCTGATGATGTGTTTCATATCTGGCGCTGTATTCATCCTTGACTCACTGAAAACTAATACAATTTTATTCTTACTTAGCAGTAACTTTTATACAGTAGGTATCTTCGGTCAAGGAATGGTCATATTGTTCTTAGCGCACCGCAAAGATGTAATAATTGAAACCTCATCAAAGCGGCTTTCTGCAAAGCAACTTCTTCTTTGAAACAAGATTTGCTTTTTCATGTTTTTTTTTTCATATTTTTTTATTGATTTATTTATTAAAAAAAGAAAGACCTCACAATAAATCTAACCATTCTTGAGAAACCCCTTTCAAAAACAACGAAAATTTGGATCTAAATAGGTAGATTTATCTTCTTTTGAGAAATAAATCCCGTTTAATTTTTGACGGGTGCATATGTGTAATTGCCTCAAAACTCATCCCTGTGAAACGGTAAAACATTCCGATAAAACTGGTTTTCGTAAGTTTACCAAGCACGAGGTTTTCGTGCGTACATTGTAAAGGCTGCGCATTTAAAGTTTAAAATTTAACGTGGAAACATCGCTTATTAAAACTGCTCTCGGTATTTGAAATCGAAATCGCTTCAACAGTTCAACACAGCTGGTTTCAACTGTTCACCAATTCGTCTTTCAGATAAGTATTTCATGTTATTTTGATTAATTTTGCTTTTATAAAATGTGCATGGCAGTGATTTTTAATATGCATTTCACAGTGTAGCTATAACTTTGCTAACTTGGTTCGATATGGTATATATAATATACATATCAAATGTTGTTGTTTTTTATGTTAACTACCACTGACATTTTGATATTGGGTCATGAAAAATTAAAAGATTGCTTATTTCAAGTCTTCATGTGCGACACAAGGCGTGGGCGCGAGCACGTGTCTTATGTGTAAATTTTATACATGTATATGCAGAAGTACAATACAAATACTGCCTGAATCAGCTATCTCCGCATGACTAATCATTATTTTATATGTTGAATAAAGTTTACAATTCCATTTTAAATACAGATACTAAGTTATTGTTAAAAGTAATACAAACAAAAAACAAACGTAACACAGAGCTTGGAAAATAATTAGTCGTAATTAGTCGTGTACAGATGTAAATGTGTTTGATTTATTTTGTAGTATTACTGATACATACTGGTGTGTGCAGCTATGTCTATAGACAGATAGACGAACACGTGAAAACGCGAATCGTGCTGTAATACTTACAGAGCAAATGTATATCAAGGAAGCAACCGGTTGATGTTATGGACTGATGGATAGCGGCATTGCATGGTTCAATGTGCTGATGGGAAATGACTCTCCTTAATTCATGCTATTCATGTAAAAGGTAATTACTTGCATTGATCTTTAATATTAACTTGATTTATTGGATAGATTATCAAGCAGAAATATTTCTTTCATGCACGAGTTGTATAGTAATAGAGTGTGAAGTTGGCAGCCTAGCGGCCCAGTGGCCTAGTAGCGGCTCAGCAGCCTGGCGGCGTGAAGTTGGCGGCCCAGTGGCCTGAACTTAGTGTTGTAGAAATTTGTCGACTCATAGTTAATTTTGAAGTCATTTTAAAGTTACATTAAAGAATACATATTAATAAAGAATAGCCTGGCAACCTAAAATTTTACAGTTGTAGAAATTTTATAAAAACAATATAAACGGCACATTGTGAAGTTCTTTAGACAATTCTTGATATTAAAGCAGCACGCCTCCAAATTCATGCTTAATTTCCATGATTTTTTTTATTCAAATTTATATGATCGTATAATATTGTGAAATAACCAAAATGAAGCAATTTGCACATTATCAATAGCATCTACAACCCACGCGAGTTGCCAAAAAGTTGTCAAAATATGCATAAATAGTCCTCACTGCATTAGAACATGTAACGCAGTAGAAATCTAGTTGTAAATATTGAAAAATCAGTCATTAATCGCACATTACATGTAAAATATTACTTGAACCTTGAATCATTCTACTTTTCCTAAAATCATAGTACATATTTCACAAGTTAGATTTTATTGAAATATTTTGACTCATCTGGAGGCATGCAGCTTAAAAACAAACAAGGAATCATAAAAGAACTTTTTGATTGTTTTATCATTTTTGTGAAGTTTGCGGCCTAGCGGCCTGTCGGACTAAACTTTGACAGGCCACTCAAACTAATTTGTTGTTTCTTATATGACTTTCCTCCTATTTTAACATCCGTAAAACAAGTTTTTTTCGTGTTTAACAGTGTCAAATTCTAAACATTAATTAAATATGCCGTTTTTATTAGTTATAATCCAAAGTTTCTCTAAAGTATTTAAATTGATTGATATTGTTAACGAATTAAAGAGAAGTTGAAATTGTCTATCATATTTGTTAATGAATTAAGCAATACATAATAAACAAGGGCCAATTATCTTTAAATAATAAGAAATTGAAAATTCTACTTCCTTCAATATATGTATATAAAAGATAAAGGATTCGAACCGACGACCTGGTTTGTAGTGTCTTTGGTCTGTTTAAAGGCACCTCAATTTTCCATGTTTTGTGGGAAGTGACCTGATTTAAAGTGCTAAGTTGTGTTTGTCAAGTTTTGTTTGTTTCCCTTTAGAAATCTTTAGCTAATAGTCTCTTTATCTAAGTTACTTCATTTTATTTTCCCGTTTGATCGTCTTACTGCCTATGTATTTTGATGACCAAAACCGTTTTATTTGAAAAGGTCAATGGTTCTACCAAGCAAATCTTTTTTTCCAGAGATTGTCCCCAAACATATGCTGTACTGTGCGGCTGCATAGCATCAATCGGCATGCTACAACGCATGTATATCGTTTATGAAGGAAAGGCGAGAGAATGATTGTTTTTTTTTTTTGTTTTTTTTTTTTAAAAAAAAAAAGGAAAAAAAAAAAAAAAAGAAAAAAGTTGCAAAATGGTTTTGGCACATCTAGTTTTAGTATTTATTTTCTAAAAAGTCATGATACCGCAGCAGTATCTTTGTGCTCACTTTTTCCTAGGTTAACCGTTTGTAACAGCACCTTGCGTTCGGCGGTTATCTCTTATATTGGTGTTATTGGGCGTGCGCCCTTAACCGTTAGAGGGGGCCTGTGACCGTGCGGTCGGCCATTTAGCTGTCCATCATTAGTGGCGAATTTCATTTCTTGAAATATTAAGTGGCCCTCAACACACAAAATGTGCATTTCGGTATTTGATAAAAATGTTGTCGTCAAGAAATATCTCATTGATAAGAGATTTAATGGGAACAATTTGGCCCGATTTCTCTTTAGCTTTGTTATTGTTTTACTCTTGTAAAATGCCACGCCGCTTTATATTCTTAATCGTTGACCTCTTAGCGGCAAGTCCAAGCAGAGTTTAGCATTTTCAGAGCTTATTATCATAGTTTACAGCACTTTGCGTTGCTATGTAGCTTTCCATGCATTTAGCTGGGAGCTGTCTTTTATATTTTTCTCATTCATTTCATATTTTTTGACGATGATATTTGTTTTCACCAAAATGCACAATAAAGTCACGGCCTTATTCCAATCATTCTGTGTTCTGTTATTTTATTCACAATTTACTATTTATAAAACAGTTATGTTTTCTTCTGGGAAATATAACTATTTGTATTAGAAGTGTTGCGCAGTTCCAGACGGTGCTATATCTGCTATGTAAAGATATGTGCATGATGATCTTTGGTTCTACCGTTTTAATAGCTTAGAAATGCTACTATTGGTTCTACATTCATACGTATCTGCTATATATGGTTTTGTTCATTTATAAAGAAATTGCGTCATCTTAGACCCCATATCTTTCAACGAAAGATATCCCGGCAATAACTAAAGTTCCGTCTGCTTTCGAACCTTGTCGCTGGAAAACTACTTAGTAGTAAAAATACCCGTAAATAAATTAAATAATGCTCTACAGAGGTTGTACCGTATTAATAAGAATGTACGAAATTGATATTTCCTCTGTATATCTTTTTTATTGTAGAATTATATAGGCTTGATTTTTACTGCATTGCTAAACAATTTTTATATAGAATGTGTTTGTTTGTTCGTTTGTTTCTTAACTGAATGTTACCAAGTCATCATTAACAACATATATCTAAATTTAGTTTTTGTTTTGAAAAAAAAAATGTATTGATTTATGTAGTGAAAAATATCAGTTTGCAAACCTTAATTCATTTAAAACAATGTTGACCTAAATCTTCTCATATTATATATTGTATGAAGATCTGATTACAACATTATTTCTAAAGGGCTCAATGTGATTCGGATATCCCGACAAAACTATGTATAGCTTTCTTTTCAAGACACACATCAAACGAAATATCAAAGTACCGTTGTCCGTGAGGATTTGTGTGTTAATCTTAACAAACAATGGTCAATACGTGTCATTTGGTTTATTAAATAGATAAATATATGAACAACAACAACAACAACTCAGTAAGCGCGTACAAATACTATACAATGTATGTATATATATATAATGAATCAATATAACTTGTCAACATGACACAATTTTTTCGATAATTATGTTAACAGAAAATATTATTCCATTTTAGCCAAATAAGACAGAAAATGGGAGCTAGAAAAAAGGATGTTGAACTAATGGAGAAATTGTATATTTTATGAGTTACTGCTAAATATTGAAACGTTAATTGGGCACCTGAAAGTTGATACCTACCTGTGTTATTGTATGTGGCATTGTCCATTTTATCACGGTATCTCGTAAAAATATATGACTACTTGATGCATTAGTGTTTAAACCAGAAGTTTTTTCCCCGCAATACTATTCTCTATGGTTTGTCGATATAATAAAACTGGTCAAGAGTAGGAAAAACTCGCCTCCTCACGACATGTTTAGGCTTTGGCAACATATGTTTTTCTCGGAATGCCGCTATAATGTAAGTAACAATGATATTTTTTATGACATGTCGATAAAACAGAAAAAATGACTGGTATAAATGCATCAAGTAGTCATATATTTTCACGAGGTATCATGATAAAGTGGACACAACTACATACAATAACACAGACACGGGGGTGGAACCCCATATGAATCTCAAAAATGAGCATCGGTAAAAATGATATGTGAATTCCCGCTGCACCAGATGTGAAGCATAACACCAGATGTGACTGGAAAAATAGGCCGATCGCAGGTTAAGTTTTCATCTTTTTAAACATTTATATAAAATTCAATCCTTTTTTAAGAAATCGAAATGTGATTCTACCCTCCTGACTCTCCTCTATATTACCAATTGTTGTTTTGGATTTCTATGCAGTCTTCATCGAGATATTCTTTCCGTCGTGGGTTCTGGTGTGTCCAAAACATGCAATGTGAATGAAGAAAATGTCACTAAACGGTCTCAAAAAA